TATATAGAACGTAATTAAAATAGTGGACCGTTTATAAAATATAATTAAAATGGTGGACCGTTTATATAGTTTAATTCAAATAGTGAACTACTTATAGTAAGTAATTCAAATAGCGGACCAAAAATGTAACAACTGATATAATGATCTAGTTCTGATCAACTTAACTTATTATTAACTTATTATTTTAAACTTAATTGTCTCTCACTAATGACCAAGTAGAAAGTTTTCTTATTACTTTAAATTTAATTGCCTATCACTAAGTACAAAGTTTACTTATTTATTTTAAACTTAATAACCCACCACTAAGTACAAAGTTTACTTATTACTTTAAACTTAATAACCTATCACCAAGTACGAAGTTTACTAATTACTTTAAACTTAATAACCTATCACCAAGTGCAAAGTTTACTTATTTATTTTAAACTTAATAACCCATCACTATGTACAAAGTTTACTTATTACTTTAAACTTAATAACCCATCACTATGTACAAAGTTTACTTATTACTTTAAACTTAATTCACTCTCACTAAGTACAAAGTTTACTTATTACTTTAAACTTAATAACCTAATTTCTAACTTGCAACTCAACTACTTGAACGTAGTCACCTAATTACCTCTAACCTAGTATCCTAATCACCCACAATAATCACCCTGTGGTCAATAGGCTCGTTAATCCTAACGACCATAACGACCACGAGTTCATTAATCCGCCGCCACAATATTCGCCTGGGATTTGATCCGTCGTAATGCCATGTAATCCCATGATGAGGGTGGCATTTGTGGCATGAAATATGGCAACAAAGATGGCGGCGATGTTGTGGCAACACCGGAAGTGGCGTAACAATACCCGACTAATAACTACAATAACATGTGTATAATAATAAGCTGCTCTTAAAGGGACTAGTTTGCGGGGCGGCCGGACGTGTGTGTACAATAGCGCCGCTCTAGTTTCATAATATAATAAGCTTTAAATAAATAAATGTTTAAAATTACAATGCGACTTGAGAAATCTGGGTAATTAGAATAGATGATTTAAATTATTTATTATTTCGGAAATTAATTAACAGAAAGAAATAAACATTAGCTTCGTAACATTAACATTAACCATTAACAATTAACTGATTAACTTAATTAACATTAACATTAATTAAAAGAAAGAAATTTACATTGACTTAGTGGTCATAGCGCCGCTCTAGTTTCATAATATAATAAGCTTTAAATAAATAAATGTTTAAAATGACATTGCGACTTGTGAAATCTGGGTAATTAGTATGGATAATTCAAATTTGTTATTATTTTGGAATTAATTAATTGAAATAATTATTAAGTAATTCAGTGATGTAACTTGGACATACACCACATCCACACACAGCAACTCACTCCACACAACAAAAAATACACCACACAACACACACACCACACAACACACACACCACATCCACACACAACTACACAACACACACACCACATCCACACTCAACTACACATAACGCAACATACATACACACACATCAAAAACACACACGCCACATAACAACACCACACAACACCACACACCACACAACAACACACAACTCCACACAACACCACACAACACCATACACTACACAACAACACACAACACCTCACAACTCCACACACACAACACACCACACCGCACCACACAACACCACACAGGACGCCTGAGGTGCCCCGCTGTATTGTACTCAGTAAAGCAATACGAGCAGCACAATATATAATCTCAGTCGTACACAATGGTGCACAATAGTGCACAATGGTGCACAATGGTGCACAATGGTGCACATCACCTATGGAGCCATAGCGGACACCCATTATCAGGCAGCTCCATTATCAACCTCATCCATTATCGACATCTCCATTAGCGGCCACTGCATCAACACTGGAATTATTTTAATGGCGGCCAGTAATGGAGTCAATGGTGCTCTTATGGAGGTAATTAATTGGTTATTTCTTTTGTTGAATAACTTGAGGTTTAGGTGATTAATAGGTTATTGGGTTATAGAATAACTTAAGTTTTAAGATAGGTTATTTGGTTATTGAATAACTTGAGTTTTAAGATAGGTTATTTGGTTATTGAATAACTTAAGTATTAAAGTTATTGAATAGCGTAATTTTAAGATAGGTTATTTGGTTATTGAATAGCTTAGGTATAAAGATAGGTTATTTGGTTATTGAATAACTTAGTTATTAAGATTATTAAGATAGTATATTTTGTTGTTAAATGTCTTGCTTGTAATAAATATTTTATGTATTGATAAAAATGGCGACAAATGAATTTTTTTGCCTAGCATAGTCTGAATTAGGATACAATTCTCCATGCAGATGAACATACATTTTAATGGAAGTTCAAAATTAAATATAATACGAAAAATGTTTGAAAAGCACAAGGGAGTTTGTTAACAGATACGTTCTTTGTCATTGAAATTATACGGCCAAAAAAGATAAAAGGATTCAGGACGGATAGAAAAAATTCTTTCGGATTAAATCCTTTTGTTTATTTTTCTATGTTGAATTACAATGCGGGTTGCCGACATCAGAAACTCCAAGAATTTTTTTCTTTGTAATGACCAACGCATCGAATTTTTGTACCGAATTTCGGTTGATTTATTTTAAAATGTTTTGGATTTTTCTAACGTTGCGTGTGAGTTGAAATCTTCAGGGGTGGGGGGAGTGTTTAAACTTGAAATGAAATGTGAAATAAATCAATTTTACAATTTTTTGTAAAATTTGAAGAATCCGCAAAGTCAGGAGAATCCGCAGAGATTAAATGTAATATATTTTAAAGCATGTACTGTTTACAACATCGAGCTACATTAACTGTATATGATAACCCTTACTGTCTATAATAAGAATTACTGTACATTATAACAATTACTGTATATAATAATAAGTAGTAATGTAGAACTAGTTTCGCACTGGTCATAATCTTGTTGAAATATTTATTTGCAATCAGGCCAATTTGCAAGTCAATTTTAACGCCAATATCCAAGTCGATTTTCAAGCCCATTTTCTATGCCAATTTTCAAGCCCATTTTAATGGCAAAGATGGGCATGGTAATGGCGTTATAATGGAGGGGTGGCTGCGACCATATATAATGGTGGTGTCGAATTGTGCTGTGTTACTGTGTGCTTGTATTGTTGTGTGGTGCTTGTATAGTTGTGTGTTGCCTGTGTTGTTGTGTGTGTGAGGTGTCGGTTTGTGTTGACAGCCGTGAAATTGTATTGACCGCAGCATTGTACACACTGTGTTTTCTGTGTGTAGTTCTGTGTGTAGTTCTGTCCGGCTAATTCTATACACGCACACGTGACCGTGCCTGAGTACGTACATATTACCGTAGAGGGGAAATGAGGAGATGGGAGGGGCAGGAGTAAGAGAGGAATAAATGCTGTGATTTAATTTAGTGTTAAGTTATTTCGCTTTCTTCGTCCAAAATGTTTTTTCTGATCCCTCCCCCCTCTCATCCTTCTTCCCTCATGACCATTTCTCCCCTTCCCTCGCTTCCGACTTTTCCCTCTCTTCCCCCATCTCATCTCCTCCCCTTCCCCCTCCTCCCCTCCCCCCCTGATCGCAACGGTCAACAGTGCAAGCGCTTCAACTTTCCCCAATTAAGAAGGGATAAGCGGGTTACCCTCATCCCATCCCTCATCCCTGCAGCCGTCCCATCCCTCATGCCATCCCTCATCCCTGCAGCCGTCCCATCCCTCATCCCATCCCTCATCCCATCCCTCATTGCATCAACATTAATTTTGACAGCACATCTAGTAAAATTATCTATAACCGACAAAATTAAAATAATAATCTATAAGAAAAATTCTGTGAAATATTAATACACTTTTCATATAAGTATTAACATGTTTATATTAAAACCTAAATTCAAATTAAAATAATAATTTAAGAAAAATTCTGTGAAATGTTAATAAATTTTTCATCCTACCTTTAAAATGTTTCTATTAAAATCTTAATTAATAACTTTATCATTAAATATTTATTTGCAAGTTTATTATGAAGACGGCTTTATAATACAAGTCCAGTATATAAACAGAAATATAATCTAAATTAATAAATTTACCATTAAATACATATTTGTGTGTTTATTACGAAGACAGTAATATAATACAAGTCCGGTATATAGACAGAAATATAATCTAAATTAATAAATTTAGCATTAAATACATATTTGAAAGTTTATTATGAAGACCGTAATATAATACAAGTCCGGTATTATCTCTAAAGTTTGAGGCCAATCTTTGATTGGCCTCAAATGACCCCAAGATTGGCCAGATAACAAGCACATAACTTCGTCAATCCGCCACCCAATCACCGCGGTTGGATTTTGTTTTGATGCAAACACCGCGGGTTGTTTTCACCTATAATAAAATAATAAGAAATTTGAACAATTTTTTATAATAAGAAGATAACGATTCAATTTTTTAATCAGTATTATTAAATAATAAGAAAATTGTACATTTTTTATAACACAATGACAACGATTTCAGTTTTTAATTATCATTATTAAGTAGAAATTTTTTGATCAGAAGCGAAAAGCAGCATTTTTGAAAAGTTTTCAACGATATTCATCACGATAGGAATATATTGAGAACTAAACAAACATATATACAAACGAAGCATCTTAATTTGAGTAATATTTGATCTTTATTAACAACACATTTTCATTATAACATTTTATATTCTGTACCATATTATTGTTATGATTAGTATTAATATAATTATTATTACTACTAATAATGTTGTTATTATTGCAAAAATAATATTTATAACCCCTCCTCCCTCCCCTCAGAGGTGTGGTTCCATATTATTATTATTATTAATATTATTATTATTAATAAAATGACATTTATAACCCCTCCCCACACAGGTGTGGTCCCTTATTATTATTATTATTATTATTATTATTATTATTATTATTATTATTATTATTATCATTAAAATAACATTTATTACCCCCTCCCCCACAGGTTTGGTTCCAGAACCGACGTGCCAAGTGGCGTAAGCGCGAGAAGGCTTTAGGGAGAGAGTCCCCCTCACCCTACATGGGGGCGGCGCCCCTCCCCGAGGGTATGATGCCCCCTACCCTCACCGAGGGCATGATGCCCCCTACCCTCACTCCTCCCCATCACCCTCCACCCTCATCCCCAGCAGCAGCAGCAGCACTAGCAGCAGCAGCTGCTGCAGATTTTTTCAAGCTGCAGGCGTTCCATGCGCTGCATTTTAACGCGTTTCTGCCACCGATGGCCACCCAAAAATCACCCTTAAATCCCGGTCATCCACTGCAGGGGTTGTTTCACCCCTATATGCTCCCCACATCCCTCCCCCTGCACGTCTTCCCCCCCAGCAACATGGTGGTGTCCCCGGTGGGGTCTCCTGACGGGGCTGTTTCCCCATCCACGTCCCCAGCGTCCCACGTCCCCTCGTCTTCAAGTCCCCATTTTATAAGCGTCACGTCCACAGAGGGGACTTCCTCCCTCATTAATCCCCTCACTTCCCTCTCCCACATGGTGTCCTCCCCCTCTCCCCTCGGTCTGGGGAGGACGGTCACGTCCACAAACGCCCTCCTCTTCCCTGGGGACTCGAGGGGAAATTCTGTGGACTTGCTGAGGCTAAAGGCCCGTCAGCACCAGGCCTTGCTGGACCATCTGTCCAGCGATGTCCAGCACATGGCGTCCAGCAAGTAATGTCCAGCGATGTCCAGCACACGACGTCCAGCAATGTCCAGCACATGGCGACCAGCGAGTAATGTCCAGCGACGTCCAGCACATGGCGTCCAGCAAGTAATATCCAGCGACATCCAGCACATAGCGTCCAGCAAGTAATGTCCAGTGATGTCCAGCACATGGCGACCAGCGAGTAATGTCCAGCGACGTCCAGCACATGGCGTCCAGCAAGTAATGTCCAGTGATGTCCAGCGCATGGCGACCAGCGAGTAATGTCCAGCGATGTCCAGCACACGGCGTCCAGCAAGTAATGTCCAGCGATGTCCAGCACACGGCGTCCAGCAAGTAATGTCCAGCGATGTCCAGCACACGGCGTCCAGCAAGTAATGTCCAGCACATGGCGTCCAGCGATGTCCAGCACATGGCGTCCAGCAAGTAATGTCCAGTATAGGATATCCAGCAACAAATATCTGAATTCAATAACAAATTCAATTCAATAATATCGAATCTGATCAAATCCCCTGCAGAATATTCGAAACATTTTTCTTAAATGATCAAATTTTAAAAACTTTAATTATTTATTATTGATTTTCTTGAATTATTTAATCAATTGATTAATTTTAATAAAATTAATTTTAATTCATTAATTAATTAATAAAAGTTCGTTATATTAAATAATAAATATAAAATTAATTTTTTAATCACAATTTTTGAAGCGATTCTGAACATTTTTTCCCCTACAAATGCAAGTGGAGAATAAGTGTCAGCAAACTGAAGCAGAAGCCCGACTAAAAAATAATTTCTATTTTTTTTTTCGGAAAATTTTATGTAATTTTGTAAATATTAATAAGAAAAAATTACCATTTGGTTAATACCTGGTTAACCGCAACCAAGCTGGAAATTTGGTCTAATTTTAATTGTAAAATTTTTATTTTTTTCAATTTCATTTCAAATTAATGTGAAAACAGCCTCCGTGTATGTAAATCGACTTTAAGTTTTGTAAAAACTGCATTAAAGCTTAAGTTTGTATAACGCTTAGTATTCATAAAAATGGCTAAGTTTATGTATAAAAATGGCTAAGTTTATGTAAAAACCTCCTCCGTGTATGAAGAAAATCTACGTGTATGTAAAAATACATGTGTGTAATACGTGTATGTATAAGACTGTGTAAATAAGACTACCACATTAAAATGTAAAAAATTACTTTGCGTATATGTGAAAGCTGCCAACGTTTATGTAAAAATTATCGTTATTGTAAAAATGAGTGTTATAGCCAAGCTTAAATTAGACGCATAAATTCATGTTTTCATTTAATAAATATAATCATGATTACAAATCGCTCACTAACATCACGCCTTCGCGGATAATAATCAAAGTTATACATCATTTACTAACTTCGTGTCTTCAATTAATGTAAATTAAATTTTAATCGTTCACTAACATCACACAATGAATGAATGAATAACACATAATTCACAAACTCACGTTTTCAATAAATAACATACATTCAATGTCATACATCATTCACATACATCACAGCTTCAATTAATATAATTATATTCATACACACTAAATACAATGATATTCAATGTACAATTAAATAAAAAATATATTCAAAAGCTCCAAAAAATACCGGCGAAATATTGCTAATTTAGTTCTTGTTTTGTGTTTTATTGCATACATAAAACATGTATGCAATACACGTTTTATTTTAAATTTTAAAACGTAATACGCGTTCAGGGCTGTCAAGATGAAGGGGGCTGTGGTGTGCTATCAACTTTCAATATACAATTAAATTCCTTCACACTTCATATCTATAATTTAACATTCAAATCTCTCCAATTTATACTTTATGATAAAATTATAATTTATTTTATGAAACGGGAACATTCAGGATATTTGACGAATATCCCACCAATTTCCTCAATTATCCTCATTCATAACATAGATTATTACAGATGTACATTAGAATTAGTGATTGTAAAATGCACAGTGTAATTGTAACATGTTGATTATTTTAATCAAATTGATTAAATGAAAATTTCGCTATCAAATTTTGTGCGCCGCTGCGAGTTGATAAATAAAATTGTGATGATTTCGCGCCTTTTTCTACACCATTCTAACTTAAGCCAACACACGAATAGTGACGTATACGAACGTACAATTCCAACTAACGAATAGTGACGTACGAACGTTCAACTCCGACACACGAATAGTGACGTGTACGAACGTGCAACTCCAACTAAAGAATAAACTAAAGAATAGTGACTTACGAACGTTCTACTCCAACTAACGAATAGTGACGTACGAACGTACAACTACAAGTAACACTCCAACTAACGAATAGTGACGTACGAACGTTCAACTACAAGTAACACTCCAACTAACGAATAGTGACGTATATGAACGTTCAAACTCACTACATTAATAGCGACATATCACCCAGAGAAATTTATGTGTCACATTGTCCAAAATTTGAAACCAATTCTCACCCTAAGCACGAGCGGATGTATCACTGATACTTTCTTATATACTGGGCTAAAATGAGTCAGGTTGACCCATACAAAATAAAAAAATTACTCATCGCTATTTAGCTAAATTCTATAATTTTTCTGAGTGGACGCCCGTCCACAAGAATGTGGACGGGCGGCCATTTTGTGGACGGCGTTTTGATGATGGGCGACAGTTGCGTTTTTTGCCCCCGAGATGTGGACAAAGACAGTCTTTATTGATGGTCTTTGGTGGGGACTGAATCAAACCGCCCTTACAGGGTGGACCTTTACCCAAGCCCTTAACCCATGCCCTTAACCCAAGCCCTTAACCCATCACCTCAACCTTGTCATTAACCCGTTCCCTCAACCCATTCCATTAACCCGTTCCCTCGACCCATTCCATTAACCCGTTCCCTCAACCCATTCCATTAACCCGTTCCCTCGACCCATTCCATTAACCCGTTCCCTCAACCCATTCCATTAACCCGTTCCCTCAACCCATTCCATTAACCCGTTCCCTCGACCCATTCCATTAACCCGTTCCCTCAACCCATTCCATTAACCCGTTCCCTCAACCCATTCCATTAACCCGTCCCTTCAATTCATGCCATTAAGCAACATGCCTTTCCTCCCGATGTGTACAGCCTAAAGTGTAGGGTCTAATTTCAATTAATTAAAGACGCGACAATAACATTAACTAACATTTCAAAAATATTGATTAACATTTCAATAACATTAATTAGCATTTCAATAACAAAACATTAATTAACATTTCAATAACATTAATTAACATTTCAAAAATATTAATTAACATTTCAATAACATTAATTAGCATTTCAATAACAAAACATTAATTAACATTTCAATAACATTAACTAACATTTCAAAAACAAAACATTAATTAACATTTCAATAACATTAATTAACATTTCAATTAATTAAAGTCACAATAATAAATAAAGCGTTTAATGTTTCTCAAAAACTGTCAATTATTTTTTATGATCTGACTTTGCTATACCAATTCTTTATTATTTTTGAACAGAAATTAGTTTTAGTTTAGAATTATTAATAATAATTAAGAAACCAAAATTATCAAAAATATCTATTAAATTTTCTATTACTAAAAATCTGAACTCAAAAATTTTCCCCAAAACTGACATGATTTATGAGGGAGCATATGAGGGCGGTTTGAGGGTCAATACTTACTGGGATTGGCGGCCGTGAGGCGGCCAATCAGGGCAAGCCTTCCGACCGAGTCCAATAGAGCTATTTAACGTACACGGCTTCCTATTTAAAGTACAATGTTTCCTATTTAACGTCCGATGCTTCCTATTTAACGTCCAACAGCTTCCTTTGCGACAAAGACGCTTCCTATTTAACAACGAGATCGTCCTATTTTGGCCCGCAATTTTCAAGTATAAAACTCGCTATTTTCTATATTTATTAGCAGGATTTTCTGACGTTGCAATAATTCAATAATCTATGTAATTTTAGGGTCCCCTACACCTAAATGTTGCTAAGAATTGAACGTGTTAAAAAACTTCAAGATTATTTATTGTGAAAATAATTAAAGGTATTAAAAAAATTTCAAAATTATTTTTTGTAAAAACATTAAACCCCCGTATAAACTCTCGGTTCATAATTTGAAAAATCATTTTGTGTTTTTAAAGCTTGTATTACTACCAATTTAAAAACCAATTGCTTCAAAAATACACATAAACATAAAAAACACACACGTACACATGCATACATACAAATAGACAAAAAATCTTTGGCTATTATTCATGCTATAGATAAGGTTATTAGGATAAATACATGTATAATTTGAATTATTTATCATGTTGAGATGACAGAATTATCACAAAAATGATGAGAATAAAATAAGATGATTATACATATAATAATTAAGACTAAATTCTCAGGAACAAGTTAAAAAAATAAAGCTCACTTCGAACGAACAAATGATCGCCTTTTAGCTTAAAAGTTTGGCCTGCTAAAAAAGTTGGACGAAAAAGTTTGAAACTTGCCGAAGTATTCGACCTATTGAAGTTCATGCAAATCAATTCTTGGAATAGCCCCTGATTGAGACTTGAAATAGCCCTTCAATTAGGTTTAATAATTGAACTCTAATTTGGTCATGGCAATTGCATTCCAATTAAACCCGATTCATTCACTGACCCAATAAAGAACCAATAAATAAATATCTATATAAATATATAGATAGATTGGGTCAATAATTATATAGATCCAATATTCAATCTGCGTGAAACCGATAGGAATACGCAATAGGAAAAGGTCTTCCGGCTGCCAAAAATAAAAGAAAGGTATGATTTTTATATATAAACTCTTTTTATGTTAATACGAGTTACATGAAATCAAGCTATGCCTACGTGCGGATACGAATCTTAGCTGTGACATTATGCTATATTGTCGCCTATTAGGGTCTATTGTCTATCTAGGCATTAAAAATTTTTTAAACCCTCCATCGAGAAAAATATATATACGAACATCAATGCAAAAGTATCCTGTAGCGGGTTTAAG